CGTTTTCTATTTTGATTTTCATTTCTTAGAATTATTTGTGTTCTGTTTTATATTTTTTGAGTGGAAATATAAAGTTTCTTGAAAAAATGAACTTTCATGATTTAAATCACTTGAAAAAAATCAAGCCAACCCTGGAATATATAAAAAATGAACAAAACAATACTTATTGACCGCACGAAAGACATTATTCGATGTGTTTTTAGAGCCATGAAGGGGCCACCATGTCGATGTCCCACTCCAGACCGTCCCGCCACAAAAGCCCGACTCAGTTGACCAAAAGCCATGGCCACGAGCACATCCAGAGCCAGAGTCTTCTGGAGGATTCGGCCGCCCATTTGGTCAACCTGTCCCAAGACCCGGACGTGTCCGACTTGTATCCCTCGTCCTTCATCTCGAATGGTTCGACGGAAACCAAGGACGACGAAACGGACTGCGGCCTGCTGGACTCGAAGACGAGCGCCGTGTTGGAGCACTTGGGCAATAAGATTGTGAGAGTGCGCGACTTGATTCGAACGGAGCAGAAGATGAGAGACGGTGAGTTGGAGTTGTAGGCGCCAGCTGGACTGGACGATGTTGATGTGGCTGATGCTTCCAGACAATGTGAACGAGTATCTGAAGCTGGCGGCCAATGCCGACAAGCAGCAGGTGCAGCGGATCAAGGCCGTGTTTGAGAAGAAGAACCAGAAGAGCGCGCAGGGAATAGCGCAGCTACAGAAGAAGCTGGACGTCTACCAGAAGCGGGTCCACGATCTGGAAAAGGGCATCCAGAGCCACCGGCCGCCCAGAGAAGTGCTGCGCGATATGGGCCAAGGATTAAAGTGATTAAAACCCAATGTTGCCCAAATTCATTATCTAACTGTCGGGAATTTATGCTAGAAATGTGGGCGGCAACATTCGGGATGGAATCACCGGATTCAGCGGCTCAGTCATGTCCAAACCGCGCGAATTCGCCCATCTGATCAAGAACAAGTTTGGCAGCGCCGACAATATCAGCCAGCTATCAAGTGAGTGCTTTTTGATTGGATTGAACTGACCGATTAAGGGTTGCAATTGGCTGCAACCTTGTTTTAATTGTTTTTATCTTGCAACGTTTCCGTTGGAAGCTGAAAAACTAGTCGAAGAAGGTATTTATGTCGTCAGCGGTTTAGTTGCTTCACGCCTTGTAAATATTTAGACGCCCGCTCCCGATCGGCTTGTAAATATTTAACTCGATAACTCCCTTTCCTAACAAGGCGCGCAATCCATTGCCAACAACTTACATAACATCGGCAATAGTTGGTTTTTAACGCGACTTTGTCACATAATTTGCCATTTGTGCGCGTTCAGCCCGTGGCACTAACCCTTAACCTGAGCTGCACAGGCCCACGACAAAGTAAAGTAAGGCTTCACCGGTATTATTTGCTTCAAAATGCGCATCGTCGTTGGTACAACTCCTATTATGTAATATACGATTACTCTATCGTTGGGCCAGCGTGTACATATGGGCGAAACCAGAGTGGCTTAAAGGGTCCCCACTATTGCTGCGCCCCTTTTAGTAACCAACCAACCAATCGCACCACGCATAATCTAACCGCACGCCTCTCCCCTTCTTTGTCGTTCACCGCGCAGCTTGGTACGTAGGGTCGGGAGGTAACCAGACGACCGGATCGGAAGGAAGCTGCGCAGACAAACACCAGCATCAGCAGGCAAGCGGCAACGATCCTGCTAGCCAGAAGAGCGCAGTGAAGCACGGAGGCAGCGCCACTCTGCCGATGACGGCGTCGCAGAGCAGCATGCAAGGCCGGGGGGCGCAGCGAAAGTTCCCCAGCGACGATGGTTCCGAGTGTGAGAGCAGCGTGACTAGCGACAGCATTGGAGGGTACTGGTTGCGCAGCAGCTGAGTCTAGGGCAGGTTTGAACGTTTTGTTTTCATCAGATACGGCCACCCGCAGGAGACGAGCATGCAAGACAACTTGGCGGAACTGGACAAGAAGCTGAAATACTTCCAGGAACAGCTGAATAGCTTCAGGGAGAGCTTGGAGAGCATCAAGTCCTTCCAGGCGGACATTCAGCTGAACAACCTCCAAATCCAGGAGGAGCGATTTCGCACGGAGCGTTTGGAGGAGCAGATCAACGATCTGACAGAGTTGCATCAGAACGAGGTGGAGAACTTGAAGCAAGCAATGGCCGACATGGAGGAAAAGGTCCAATATCAAAGCGAGGAACGTTTGCGCGACATTCACGAGATGCTCGAACACTGCCAGACCAAAGTAAGGGCCGCCATTGGTCAAGGTGTTTCAGTTGCTTCAATGTGTCGCATGGTTTAGATCCAGAAAATGGAACACCAAGACCTCCAGCAGCAGCAATACGTCATGCTTGAGGGACTGGACAACTCAAACGCTCGCGCTCTGGTCGTCAAACTGATCAATGTGTTGCTGACTGTGCTGCAAGTGGTTCTTCTGCTGGTCGCAACCGGAGCTGGGATCATTATGCCGTTTTTACGAACAAGGTAACACTTGCAACTGCCAGAAATAACTCCAACG